CCCCGAAGGGCCGCCGGAGGCTACGAGATATATAGGCCCCCGAGAGCCAGAATCGGCGGCGCGCCGGGGGGGGGTAAGCTTGACTCGGGCCTGTCCCTCTACACGGGGGAATCTCCAAACATAGTCAAAGAATAGTCGGGGGATTCTTTTTGTTCCTGCCGTGTTTGGGCATTTTTGGAATATTTTTTGAGTATTTACATTTTTTCGTTTGACTCGGGCCTGTCCCTCTACAGGGGGAATCTCCAAACATAGCCGAAGAATAGTCGGGGGATTCTTTTGTCTGCCGTTTTTGAGCATTTTTGGAATCTTGTTTGAGTATGTTCACTGTTTCGCCCAGAATCCCCCTGTAAGGCCGGTCCCTCTACAGGGGGAATCGTCAAAAATCATAAAACGTATTCCGGGGACGATTTTCCTGCCATGTTTTTGACAATGTCTAGACTATGTGTTTGACTACTTTGCATGCGTCGTCCAACAAATCCGCCTGCAGGGGGACAGGCCCGACCCAAGGGCAAGTGAGAGGGGGCCTTGGCATCGCTCGGACGTTTGCATCTTTCCTCCGGCGAGGACCATCCAGGAGCATCCTTGAGCAGCCTGCGAAACAACCACGCACGAAACCGAAAAAAGCACAGGGAGTGGACGTCCGAGCGATGGCCAGGGGCAGGCCTTCCCAGACGCCTTTCTTGGGGAAGGCTTCGGGGCCGCCCGTCGCCGAACGCAGCGAGGACTCCGAGGGCGCGAGGGCTGCCGAGCAGCTCCGCGGCCCTCTGAGAAGGCTTGGCCCTTGGTCCCTCTCGCGCTTCCGCCCCTGGGCTCGCCGCCGAGCCCGCGGTCGCGGCCTGAGCTGGCGGCCAGGCAGGGGCTCAGCACGGCCCTCCAGGGTGGACGTTACTGCCCCCTGGGGCCGGAGTGCCCGCGGAGTCGCCTCCTCCGCCCTGCTAACTCACAAAAAAAAAACACACAGACACAACTAATTCGTCGATCCCCCGGAAGGTATGGGAGAATATGTGAGGTGGGGGGGAAGACGAAAGCTTAGAAAGTGTCGGAAAATAGGGGGATCCTGTTATTTGTGTGTATTTACTTGTGTGTCCCAGGGCCCCCTCATTGAGTGGCTGCGCCGACGCGCGCGCGCGTGAGCTTCCCGTGCAAGGCCGGGGGCTCTGGGTCTGGGTGGCAGGCTGCCGGCCGGGAGGGGGGCGGGGAGCGGGAGGGCGGGAGCGGCAGACGCCGGGGCAAGTGTAGCATTCAGTCGGGCATGTCCCTCGACAGGAGGAACATGCAAAAGTAGCCCAGACATAGGCCGGGGGCGACGTTCCGAGGATGCTTCGACTGGTTTTTTGAGTCTGTTTTGACCTCTCCTTAAGGTCCTCAGGTTGCGTCGAAAGTCCGCCTGTAGGGGTCCATGCCCGACCTCAGCGCAGCAGCCTCTCGGAGGTCCGCGCGGCCTTCCCGGGCCGGCGCTTGGGCCCCCCCTCCCCGACCGCGCCTGGCGCGCGCGTCGCGCGCGAGGCTCGAGCAGTGGCGAAGCGTCCTGGACATTTCTGGCGGAGGTTGGCTTGTTTTAACACATGGGGAGGAGGAGGAGGAGGAGGAGGAGGAGGAGGAGGAGGAGGAGGAGCCTTGTTTTAGTCCTTATGGTCTAGGAGCCCTGTTTTTGTCCTTAGAGCATTTTTGGGTTCTAAGAGCATGCCGTGGTAGCACTGTAGGCATGCCCGGGCGGTCGGCCCCTGCTCACGAGGCAGGGATGGGGGGGGGGTCTAGGCCGGAGTAGTGGGGGGAGCACAAACGGGGGGACCGGGGTAGGCACAATAGTTCATGCAATAGTTGGCGCTTGGCTGCAATAGTTTGCGGCGTGGGTGCAATAGTTCCGCGCGGGTGTTGCTTCGTCGTGTTTCGTGCGCAATAGTTCAGGCGGTTTGCAATAGTTCGTGCCCCCTCGCAATGGTTCGCGCGCAATAGTTCAGGCAAACGAACTATTGCACTTTGTGTGTCCCCCCACTGCTCCAGCGTCAAGGGGGGGGTCCAGCGCCGGTCCGAGGGGGCGGCGCGGGCCTCCGAGGGAAGCGAGCTGCTCGCTCCGTCACTCTCTGCTCCGCCCCGAGGCGGCTGCAGGAGCTGCAGGCGCACGCGAGGAGGACGCCCCCGCCCGGCGTCGGGGAACGGCACGGCTGGCTGCGGTGGCGCGCCCCAAGGGGACCTCAAACGACGCGAAGATCGGGACAAAATCGGATCGGGATAGCTCGAAATCTCTAAGCATCGGCGGGTTTGGAGGATGTATTGGGCGCCGCGGCCGCCCCAGAGCGTTCCGGAACGCTCTGAGAGCGCTCCTGAACGCTCTGGAGCGATTTATCCCGATCCTAGCCCTGTTTTAGGACCTCCCAAGGAGGGCCCAAGGTAATGCATACATAAAAGATCTCATAAGCAACCGTTTTCTTTCGTTTTCTCTCGTTGCAGTTCCACTTATCAAGTCACACATCAACTTTACATATATGTTTTTTGGTTGAACAAATGTAGTACGTCAGACTCAGGCCAAACTTGTTTTTTATACTTCAACATCGTTTTCTTTAGATTATTGTTTTTCCTTGTTATGAAACTAGAAGTTCTAAGTTCTGTTGCTTCAGAGATGCTCTCACGACCGAAGAGGGGCCCAGGGTAATGCATACAGGGGCCTCGCGAGCCTGCCCTCGAAACATTGCCGCCCATAGCTACCCGTGTATGCGCAGCATGCCCCCAAGTGGCCCACAAGACACCCCCAGAGGCCCCCGAAGGCCACACTCATGGGAAGCGGCCGGTGATGCGCCGCCGGCGTCCTCGACAACCTTACGGGCTGCAGTCCGACCCAGTCGGCTTGTTGCAATCGGTGCCAGCTGGCTCGTCCGAAGCGTTTGTACGGTAGGTTCGCGTCGTGTTCGACGGGTGGCGACCCCGCCGCCGGCGTTCAACGTTGAACGCCGCCGGCGACCTAGAGGCGCTCGCTGCTGAACGATCCGACGCCGCGGAAAGGGCCGATCGTTCAAGGTTGAACGATCCCCGCGGTGTCAGGACCAACGCCGGGGTCGGCACGACACGAACTTGTCGTAATCGGGCTGATTTTCGGGGGTGGGTGGGGCGGGAGGAGGAGGGAGGAGGAGGGGGGCGGAGGAGGAGGAGAGGCAGGAGGAGGAGGAGGAGGAGGAGAGGCGGAGGAGGAAGGAGAGGAGGAGGAAGACGAGGAGGAGGAAGGAGGAGGAGAGGAGGAAGTAGGAGGAGGAGGAGCGAACCCAGGAGCAGGAACGGGAGGGGAGGAGGAGGAGGAGGAGGAGGAGGAGGAAGGGAGAGGAGGAGGAGGAGGAGAGAGGGAGAGGAGGAGGAGGAGCAGCAGGAGCAGCAGGAGCAGCAGGAGCAGCAGGAGCAGCAGGAGGAGCAGGAGCAGGAGGAGCAGCTGCGCGTCGGGAGCGCTCCCGGGGGTGCCCGAGTAGGCTCGCGAGGCCCGGGCTCTCGAGGCCTCTCGGCGATCCCAGTCGGCGAGGCCTCGGGGTGCCCGGGTCGCCCCGCAGGGCCGCCGGAGGCTTCGGGCTGCGGCGTCCGCGGGCCAGGCCAAGGTGGGGCTCCTCCTGACTCCTCCTGACTCCTCCTCCTCCTCCTTTTCCTCCTCCTCCGCTGGAGGCCTGCTTCGGTGGAGGGAAGCAAGTAGTGGACACTCCCCCGCCCCCCAAAACCCAAAGCTGACACGCGCGGGGAAGATTGCGGTCGAAGGGCAGCTCGTTCAACCCACCGCCAGCATTGATCATGGGGGGCGCATTGACAGATGAATGCTGCATGAGCTTGGCATCGCTCGGACGTGTGCATTTTTCCTTCTGCGGGGACCATCGAGGAGCATCCTTGAGCATTTGGCGAAAAAACCACGCACGAGACCGAAAAAAAACACAGGGAATGGACGTCCGAGCAATGACCAGTGAGTGTGCTCTCAGTTTTTTCCCAGGCCTGTCCCTCCCACTCCCCCCCGGCACGCCGCCGATCTTCGCCGTCGCCGTCGCCGGCGTCGCCGTCGCCGTCGTCGTCGTCGGCGGCGTCACTGTCGTCGTCGTCGTCGTCGTCGTCGTCGTCGTCGTCGCCGTCGCCGTCGCCGTCGCCGTCGCCGTCGCCGTCGGCGTCGTCGCCATCGTAGGCGTCGTCGCCGTCGTCGTCGGCGTCGGCGTCGCCGTCGCCGTCGTCGTCGCCGTCGCTGTCGCCATCGCCGCCGTCGTCGTCGGCGGCGTCGTCGGCGTCGTCGTCGTGCCAGGGCCCGAGTGGTGGCCCGTGAAGGCCAGGCCCTGGCGGCCAGCCCGAGGCAGCGGCCCCCGATGGCCCGAGGCATCGCCGGCTGGGTCCCGGGCGGGGCGGGGCGCCCAAGCGACGCCTCGCTTCGAGCTCTCGAGCGGGACGCCGACGACGCCGCCGCCGCCGCCGCCGCCGCCGACGACGACGACGACGACGAGGACGGCGACGACGAGGACGAGGACGGCGGCGGCTGCGACGACGACGACCACGACGAGGACGACGGCGGCGGCGACGACGACGACGGCGACGACGACGACGGCCGACGACGACGACGACGGCGGCGGCGGCGGCGATGACGACGACGACGACGACGACGGCGGCAGCGACGGCGGCGACGGCGGCGGCGACGACGACGACGACGACGGCGGCGACGACGACAGCGACGACGGCGACGACGACGGCGGAGCGCCCAGGGGCGTGCGGTTTCGCTCTCGAGCGCCTGTTGCCGATCCGTCGACGGTGTATCGCCGATTCCGAGTCCCTATTTGTCCCCCCCTGGGGAGCCAGTCCCGCCCAGTCAAGAAGCCGTACGCCCATGGGCGCGTGGGCGGGAAAGCGCCGGGCGCATCACGACCGCGAGGCAGAACATACACGAGCAGCCGGGCGTCACGGCGTCACGCGGCGACATAATCTTTCCCAGACATGCGACGTCTTAATTTTCCTAACAGCTCTTGCTGATAGGTTTCTAGTGGTCTCAAAAGAGAGCATCATGACTCCTCAGGGGGGTCTGGGCGGGACCCGGAACGGCTGCCGCCGAAGCCGAAATCGCTAGGGACATCCTCGCAAAATCGCTCTTGGTGCTTCCCAGAACTCCATTCCCGGGCCACATTTTGGATGCCCGGAGCCAACTGTAGGCCACTTCGTGTTCTTCGAGTTCCCAGAACTCCATTCCCGGGCCAGATTTTGGATGCCCGGAGCCAACTGTAGGCCACTTCGTGGTCTTCGAGTTCCCAGAACTCCATTCCTGGGCATGATTTTGAATGCCCGGAGCCAACTGTAGGCCACTTCGTGGTCTTCGAGTTCCCAGAACTCCATTCCTGGGCATGATTTTGAATGCCCGGAGCCAACTGTAGGCCACTTCGTGTTCTTCGAGTTCCCAGAACTCCATTCCCGGGCCACATTTTGAATGCTGAGGCAGGCTGAGGCTGAGGCTGAGGCAGGCTGAGGCTGAGGCAGGCTGAGGCTGAGGCCGAGGCTGAAGGCAGACTGAGGCTGAGGCTGAAGCAGGCTGAGGCTGAGGCTGAGGCAGGCTGAGGCTGAGGCTGAGGCAGGCTGATGCTGAGGCAGGCTGAGGCTGAGGCTGAGGCTGATGCAGGCTGAGGCTGAGGCAGGCTGAGGCTGAGGCCGAGGCTGAAGGCAGACTGAGAAGGCAGACTGAGGCTGAGGCTGAAGCAGGCTGAGGCTGAGGCTGAGGCAGGCTGAGGCTGATGCAGGCTGAGGCTGAGGCTGAGGCAGGTGAGGCTGAGGCTGTGCTGCTGCCGTTGCCGCTGCGACTGTCATCGCGAATGCGACTACGACTGCGAGAACAGCAGAATTCTACAACTGGATTTTCATCTGAATCTTAAGGGGAATGCTTTCAGATATGCTTCTACACATCGCTGTTAGGTTGCTTTGCCGGGATAATTTTTCTTCCGGACGGCGTCCCCAGAAGTCCAGACCCCTTCCCCGGGGCCAGGTTTTCATCCTGAGCCGTTTTTTGACGGTCCTGGGGCCCAGCGAGGGCCTCTAGAGGCCGAAAATAATGAAAAACGTCCGTCCTAAATTTTGACGACGCGGTCACTTCTGGGGAATCATTCGTCTGCGCCAGCGACTCCCACAGCGAAGCGGCACCAAGAGCGGTTTCGGCATCGAGCGCCGGTCGCCGATCCATCGACGGTGCATCGCCGATTCCCGCGAGACCAGGCCCCGTGCCGCTTTCTGAGGAGGCCTGCTGCTGTTCCTCCTTCTGCTCCTCCTCCTCCTCCTCCTCCTCCTCCTCCTCCTCCTCCTCGTCCTCTTCGTCGCCGATGCGTCGACAGTGCATCGCCGATGCCGAGTCCGTGGTCCCCCCCTTTGGAGCCAGCCCCCCCGATCGCCCCCCCTCCAAGGAGGGGCTCGGCCTCCTCCCCTCCTCCTCCTCTCTCCCCCTCCTTACCTCCTCTCCTCCTCTTCCTTCTCCTTCTCCTCCTCCTCCTTCTCCTCATCCTCCTCCTCCTCCTCCTCCTCCTCCCTCGAGCCATTCTGGCTGGAGGGCCGGCCCTGGGGGGCCTCCGGGGCGTCCAGGGCTGCAGAAGTATCCTGAGACACCCACCTCACTGCCAGATCCCTGTGCCTTATTGTGTCGGGCCGGGCGAAAGGGGGGATTGGGAAAGGGGGGGTTACGAAACTTGCTGCATGCAGCTGGTTTCGGCTTCACCGACGGGCCCATTCCTCGATACATGGCCGCCTCCGGCGCCGGGAGGCGCTGGGAAAATCAGCTACGTGAGCTATTCCCCCCCTTCGCCCGGCCCGACTTATTGTGGTGCTTGAGTACGTTTACCCGTGTCTACCACACATCATTTCACGGGTTTCCGCGAAAGCAGGGATGGCACCGTCGCGGCAGCAGTCCAGACCGTGGACACGCTGCGGCAGTTGCCAGTCATGCGAGTACAGTGATAAGATCAAGCAGTAACAGATGAAGTGCCAGAACTGTGACTTCAAGTTCAAGAAACTCTTCCAGCCACGAGAGCCCCGTCGGATCCAGTTCGAGGACGACGAGGGGTCTGGCTGGGAGGCCAGCAGCCAGGGCAGCCGCCAGTCGCTGGGCTCCCACGCGGCCGCAGCCCGCGGGCTCGGGGGTCCAACGGCTCCGCCACCG